TGTGAACATAACTGACGAAGAGATAAAATAATTACGAAGAAATTCGGTATCAAATAAATGAGCTGAGAGCACAACAATAACCCCTCTCCTTAATAATTTTACATAAGAAGGAAGAATAGTTCGTACGTGGAGTTTGCATGCTTCGAACATGTTTTGGCGAGCTTGTAGTACCTGTCGGTTTTTGCCAGTACGTCATTCACAAATTCTTCAATTTGTTGCCGGAACAACGTGTGCTGCTCACCAATCTTACTTTTTATTGTCGTTGTGATTAGAAGACGCATTTCATCCGTTTCCAGTTCTGCACCTTCTTCCCAAATATGCCTTCAAAAGATCCAATTTCGGCTTAAATGAAGTCACAATGAAGTCAAACTCTACAAATATTTCTGCAACTAGCTGAACGGTAAAATTCAAAAGCAATATAAAGTGAAGTAATTACGGGGTGGTATTACAAACGTGTTCCAAGACATGTTTGAAATCCACTACATTTCCATCTTTAGATTCCATCATCGCTGGATCAAGGCCATCCTCACCAAAAGCAAATTCAACAATTTCGCCAGCTGAAGATCGCACTGTGCCATCATAATTAGCACATAAGTCCTGAAGACAAAAAGTAAACCACATGCCAAAACCCAACAAAACTAAAAAATATCAAAGCAACAACCTTTCAAATAGAGATGGCAAAACTCTACCTCAAGACACTTCACCAAACGCCGTTGCATGTACCCAGTTTCTGCAGTTTTTACAGCAGTGTCAACCAAACCTTCTCTTCCTCCCATTGTGTGAAAGAAAAATTCCGTTGGCGTCAAACCAGAATAAAAACTATTTTCTACAAAACCCTTTGCTGCAGGAGTTTTTTGTCTCCTTTCGAAATGCGGCAAGGAACGATCCTTGGGAAGAAAATGGTCATAAGAAAAAGAAATGTAAGGTGTATTATGAGGATCAAAAAGGTAAAAATTGTTTTATTGGCTTATTCAAAACGGTTTAAACAAGCTCTGAATATTACTTCAAATCCATCTGGTGGTCGATGCCCAGAAATAGCCTGCTGTCCCACACAGGCAATCATCTGCGAAATGTTAATAAACGAACCCTTGGAGCCGCAAACTGCCATAGTCAAGGGAGCATTGTGCCTGCAATAATACACAACAGCGAACTTATGTAGATTTTTTACATGTGAATAACGAAAATTTAACAGTTTTCGAAAACAGTGTTACCTAGAAAGATTTCTCAAACAGGCTTGTCCTGCATGATCTCTGATAGCCGAAAGTTCTTTTAAGATCAATGCTTCTAATGTTTCATGCTCGGTACAACCAGGTTGTGCCTTAAGCTTCCCCTCTTTTAAACTGTTAATGTAATTATCACACTTCTTGTACCCATCTTCTAGAAGCAAAGCTTTTTCCTTCAACAAAGCCTCACTTGGTCGAACATCACCTATCCCTGCAATCAAGTCTCACTGTTAACTGCACAGTGAATACATTTGAACAACGACCACTGCTAATACACTCAGAGACCTGAGTACGAACTTCTCGAAATAGTGCAAAACTAGTTATTATCAATTTCAAACAGCTAATCAGTACCTATAGAAAATCCACGGTTTGAAAGGAAGACCGGAGCCATGCGTGCAAGACGCCACATTGCGTTTACAGCAGCATCCTCTCCGAAATCTCGCAAAAGCATGTAAAAAATATTTACCTTGCTTCCCGAACCAAGTAAAGTTTTGTCCAGTACACCACACAATAAGACGCTGTTGCGTATAATTACAAACGAGTCCTGTAATAATTTAGAAAATATAATATAATCTCTTTGAATACAAGTGATTAACCACTTATAGCTCCACTTTCTAAAATGTACCATACTGGAAATACTAACATCAAAAATTTTTTGCTTTTCCAAATGCTGGAGGATTCTACTCAATCTGATCAAGCCTAAGTATGCTTACTACAGGAAGCTAAATAAATGTCACACCTTTGCACAAAATTCGTCATTCCCAGTGTTGCTCTTGTTTTTGGCTCTCAAATTTAAATTTATCTTTGAGTC